ACTCCAGAACCAGGGAAGCTGGGAGGCTGAAGTTTTCAGGAAATGTTCCCAACTCATCTACAACTTAAATTTATTAAATTCAGCCCCCGTTATGCGTGGTGGCTACCCACGGCCCCGTTAAATTTTTTGGCTGCAATTTGGGTAACCCGAGAACTAAGAAAGCTGGGAACCTGGGACTTCAAGGCAATGTTCCCTGTCCAACTATAGCGTGGATAATTAAGTTCCCGAAATTCGAGGACTAGTATGTACAAGAGGTTCCCAGCTAGCGGAATTTCGAGTAATCTTATTACAGCACGAAACATTGCAAAAATGCATGATCGCACGGGACCCCCCAGTGCGCGTCTACAATAATTGCTTTAATAGCTTTGTTTATAGATAGCTACAGTGATCGCACGTTTCCTATTGTTGAAATTTTATTCTTAAGTAAAAAGCAATAACAAATGTTTTCAAAAAATACTGGGTGTAAATAACTTTTTAAGGAATAGCTACGTCGGCCTTTATGCTACGTTCTGGCACTATCAACAGCTTCATAACAAAAGTGGGAAAAATCTTTGCTGATTCCGAGAACTTACACTTTTTTGTATAACATCCTAAGGGCATTTAAAATTTTGAAAAAGTTGTTAAAAAAGTGAAATATGTTGTTGTTTTTATGTATGGTGCATAAGTGCTGTATTAACTTACTCTCCAAACGTCGGCGCTTTCCAGGAATTCGCCTTCTGATCGAATTCGGCCGAACGGATATAGAGGTTGAAGAGGGAAGGGAGGATGATGCAGGTGCATGGAACGGTCGTACTTCCAAAAAGATCCATCACCGAACTGAAGTTCGGTATTGTTAGGCCAATGAAAAGCATTAAAGCCATTAGCGCAGTTCTTACCAGTACTCTTTTCGTGCAAAATTCTGCAACACATTTACGCTTTTTTTTAACGCTTATCAAAAAATTATCGGCACGGGAAATTAATATCAGCAAAAAAAGCTTTTTTAAAAACAGATTTTTTCAACTTTGATTCAAAAAGAATCAGCAAAAAGTTCTACGTTTCAGGATAAATTTTCAGAGGTAAAATTTTGAAGCGAAATATGGCGAAACTTCAGTCATCACTTTAAAAGAGCGCATAAAATTTAATAAATCGAAACACCCTCATCCTAGCTGTTTCTACTATGCGCGTATACTTGCATATAGTAACATCACTAACATGAGATATCCACACACTGATGGCTCTCGTGGTCTTGATGCTCTTGGAAAAATGGTTTTCCAGACTATAATTTATCAAACAAATTTGAAAATATTTATCAATCAGTTATCAGAAACGAAAGGATACTATGTGGGATGCCGAATGTTTCTTCGAGCTGCAAATTGATCGGATTCACTGTGATGATTATGGTGAGGATACAATGCACTGCAATAGCCAGATCAGCCACAGAACGAATCCATGGAGTCTGAATCGAGTCGATCACCGAATTTTGCATGCTGTTACCGTAAACCATAAATGAATAGATTGAAAGTGGCATGTACAGTAAAGCCACCACTGAAGAAAAAAGAACTAATTAGAAAAGTTTTATAAACAATGTCCACTATCACCCCTCACTACTTGAGAAGTGACGCCTGAGAGGTTAGAGAGAAATGGATTTGAGGGAACTTTGGATTTAGTGTGACACATTTTGGTCAGTTTAATGGGTAAATTTTAATTAACCAGATCCATTCACTCAGTCCCTTACTCAGCTTGATTCTTGACCCTATCTACCTTAAATTATATCTAAGAGATGAAACACAAATTGCATTCCTCGTGTGACTAAATAAACATGCGGGTTTGTAGTTTTTTAATCTTCAGTTTCAATGTTTAATTGACGCCATTCCTTTATCTCAGCGATTTCAACTCTTCCTAAAAAATCAACTATTTTCCCTGCATAAGAAGTTCGCTATTATAAGCATCCATTTGACTATTAAGAAACTTGAAAAAAAGCAAGGAAAACATACACAAGAAACCCAGAATTATGGATTTTTTGAAATCTGGTGGATGATGCATATCATTCTGGACTGTTGGAAATACCTGATGACCATTGAAAGCGAATAAAAAAATGCCAAGACTGAAGATGGAATTGAAAGATGGCCCGGGATAGACGGATTCCGGATAGCAAGTAGGCAAATCCAGACTCACGCCAACAAATATCAACAGAATTGCTGTCACAGTGCACAGCACTGCAGCAACAATCACCACCCTGCAATAGTAAGTAATTAAAAGTCCAGTAAGAATTTCGAATCCTTCATACTTTCCAGGATACCTGGTGATCATTTTTGGCACAATTTAGTAACTGCTTGCCTCAGTATGTTATCTTTCAGCATATGGTGTGTGAATAGTTCTGAAACACTCTTAAATCGCGCAATTTTTCCTCAGCGCAGGCACAAACGTGAGACTTAAGCCGCAAAATTCTTGTTCTGTCCCTCCCCTTCTCCCCAGTTTGTAGACATGTGAGCTAGAAACCTGAAATTTTCAAAGTCAACTCATTACGGCAAGTGTGGGAGTTACGCAAAAATACGTGCCCTATTGGTTTTGTCGTGCGTTGGGTCATTCATTTCTGCAAAAACGCGAGAAAGATACCAGTAATCAGCAGGCGATTTGAGCAATGTGATGGGAAAGATGAGCACACCAACAATGATGATAAGCCAGCAGAAACTGAAGTGTACGTGAAGATTCAGCAGGAGATTGTGGAATACTTTGGACGATAAGAGTAAGTACACGATTGCTGTGCCAGCCAATGTAAAGTATACCAGCAATTTTGTTATAACCCTGAAAAATAAAGCCTAGTATATAGTTGAAATTTTCGAAGCAATCGGACTTGCAGAACATCCTAATAAAATTGTTTTCTTGCTTTTGCAGTTGATGAGTTAAAAAAATTCTTGCTGAAACTTTTACATTGTTTGCACATAAGACATAGACATGCGTAAGAAATGAAATTAAATTTACGGGATCGTACGTGGGCACAAAACACCCTTTTAAAATTTCAGCCTTCTAGCTTTTCTGATCGCTCTGTTGAAAAGTGCTGACAAAATGTTCGAGCACACACACAATACACGCACCTACACACACACGTGAATAGAGAAAGGATCTCGAAAATACTGCGTTTTGCACCACAGCTGCAGCGCAAAGTGTGTAAAAATTGACGAAAATAACCTCTTAACAAAATAAACGTCAAGCAATTTGACGTTGTGAACTTACTCGGCCCGCTTTCCGATGCTTTTTAGGCCCATTTCAGGATAGGGCTTGCGGCAGTGCCCACGATATTCTGGCCAGCGAGTGCACATAATGTCCCATGTATCAGCCAGCAACCAACCAGTCGATGAAAAAAATGTGCAGATCGTAATCATGAAAATTATTCCCATCATCAAGCCTGAAGATTTTTTCAGCGCGAGAACTTGTCAGGAAAACCCTCGCAAAGCTGAATTATTTTTTGGGAAAGGATGGGGGCCCCTCCGACAGTATCGCAAATACGAGATTCCTATATCAGCTTTCTGAGCTGTCCCGGTTTTCTAGGGAGAACAAGCTTCGGTTTTTTTTTTTTAAAAACAAGCTTCTAATTCTTTTTTCCTTCCTCTGCATGTATTGGCTTATTTTGCACCTGCAGCAACGACTTCTCGAACAGCCGGTGCGGGAATTCCATGTAGGCGAAATTACTGCGATGCTCCCAGTTATATCAAGCCCTGCCGTGAAACGGAGCCCTTTTTCGAAAATGGTTAGCGATCGAGACAAGCCCTTTAATCTTAAATGTACGATTCCAGTTTGTATCTGCTCTTTCTTATCCGATGTATTTATGTCAATTCTTCGAGGACCACCCGAATGGCCGTTTACCTTCTCGTAGGTATCATACACTAGTGCGCAATGCCCAACGGCTGTTAGCAAGGCGAACAACACGTCCTGCCCATCGAATTCTACTTTCTCGTGGTGATATCCTACATACCACGTGGGGATATGCCATGTAATTTTCATTTATTTATAAGCGCCAAGAATTAAGTTCGGCCGCAAAAACTTTTGCTGGAAACTCACCAGTTTGTACGAATCCAGCAGGCATAGCGACTACGCCTCCACCGACCAAATCAGCAAGGATGAACATTGCCGCCACTACCCAACCTATTCCGTGTTTTCCTTGTGATTTCGATACCATTGTGCTGTCTGTGAAATTTGAATCCGACACCTTAATAACGTGGTCCTGTTAAGTTGAGGATCGTATAACATGTTGGCTAACCTCTTACAAAACTTTTCAGGTCCGGATTTTATTCAAAATTTACTTACAAGAGGCGAAAATTTTTCCTTCCAATCATACAGTTTTGGTCTCTGATCTCTCACCACTCAAAATTTGACCTTAGCGGCATTAGGCCATAAGCTTTTTTAAAATCCTGATTTGTGAAGGGTGAATGAAGACTATAGTTTATATACCGTGAATTCACTGTGTACTTTGATTTCGAAACACACCCTCTGAACGTGTTTTGTGCAATTTAAGCCGCTTAAAATGAACAGTTAAACTTAGCAAACATTCTTTTCATCACCTGTGGGTAAAAAACTGGGTTCTGATAAGGATACCAGAGCTCTAAAATTGCTAATTTTGGATCAAGCCTCTTGGCCAGCTTTCATTTTCTTCCAGCAAAATTTGCCGTTCCTTTTTATTCGTCTTTTTGGTTAAACTTTTTTGTTGGCGACTCAAATTTTAGCTGTTTTCGTTCCAATTCGACGATTTTGGGGCAATCTGCTACAGAAAAAAGAAAGCATTTTTTCCCTTGCCCTTCTCATTCTTCAATACTTCTCTCCTTTAAAGTATGCAACTGATAAAAATATAAGGGAGTAAAGAACAGCTGATAATGCAACAGTGTAAAAAATTTATTGCTAAAACAGCATGACAGCAGGTTCGGTAATGCACCTGTCACCTGAAAGAGCTCAGATGGCGTTAATTGCGCCTGTAAGCCAAACAACCGTCTAATCTTTGATTCCTCGCACTTGCCTTTGTTCACTTGCCGCCTAGATCCCCGCAAGTGTGAAACAAAAAGACTTCAAAAGGTGTTCAAAAAATAGAACTGTGATAAGACCCACTGATTACCTTGTTGCTGTAATGGAGAGCTGCCCCATTCTCTGTCATCTGCCGGCCCTAAATTTCAAAAAATACAAATTACTGTAGAAAAATAGCTTCAGTGAGAATGGAACTGTTGAATAAGCAAACTGTGTTTCATCCCCGAACTGTAAACATAGGATAGTGACCATCTACGAGTTATGTAAAGAATGAGCTTATTTTTTAGCATCCACAGAGTGGCACTGTGTCGTCATGTACCAGTTGAACAAATATGCCCATTAGCTTTCTTGTTGGAATATGCATTTTTTTGACAACAGATTAGAAAACTTGTTTGAAACTCATGAAGCCTAACTTTAGACATGCCCTTCATATTTTGAAGTCAGCAACAAACCAGGCTGGGACGCACCAGGCGAGCCGGGCGATCATGCGTTTTTGCATCAAACTTTGAGGTACTCCATCATTATTTCCCTGCCCTTGCCTCACC